GACTGTGATGAAGTGATTCAACACAATCTGCTGCTAAATTCTTTACATTGTTCTTTTTATCTACAGTGTCCTGACACAACGGATGTTGGGACTTGGAGCTATAGAAATAAACTTGAACCTGAACTTGAACTTGAACTTGAACTTGAATATAATATACAAGTTTCACTTTTTGCATAGAATTATTGAATTAAATCAATTTTTTCACGATTTTCTCATTTGTATTACTGGTACGTGTATACACAATTTAGGAATTTATTTGAAAACAGCATTTTTCATATATGTCATGAAGTCTTTAATTTTTTTATTGAATGTTTTTTATTTTTCTTGTCAGTGTGTGGCAGATAGTGTTGTGCACATAGAACAAATTGACACTGAAGTCGTCTTTAAGTAAGTAAAATTCATGACTAACTTTATAACTTCAGCTTTGATCAGCTTTTTAAATTACGTTTATAGCTGTTTAACAGTAATGTTTTATATGTTTCATAGCAAATATAGTTGAAAAATGCTTAAAAAATGAAGAACAATTGAAATGAATTCAGTGCTAATAGATAAAAAATTAGAAAATTTAAAGAAAAAGCTGTATGACTAACAAAGATCGATGTGTGCCACTGCATATGTATCTAATAAGTTTACTCTTTTCTACAAATAAGATCTGTACCAGAGGTGGGTTTAATAATCTCCCAAAGGGAAACACTTCATCATTTTCATATTGATGAGTTCAGTGTTATGACCCATCGGTGAAGAAGAAAAAGTGACGATGCATTGGCCTCTGTATGTGCATTTGTCTGTTTTTTTTTTACTTAATGTTGCATCAGCAGCAGCTAAAGCCACCACTGCAGACTATAAAACACAAACACACTGTGGGTCACAAACGACAGCAGGCTGGTTGGACATCATGTGGATGGACTGAGAATAGACACTGAAGAAAGATATTCTAACACAAACATTTTAGAGTTAGTTCTGGGTGGTATGACCAAAGTTTTATATCAATCTGTATCATGGTATTGGATGATTTGTCTTTTTATTTTTCATCACAACTCAGGCTGTGGTGTTAAAATGTACAAACTGTGATTATTGATTATCAAACTGTTCTCAGCTGAAGTTACTTTCTTTCTGGAACACAGAAACTGTTTCTTGAATTTTTTCTTTGACTGCACCTTGTGTTTTCCTTCTCTGGTTGTAGACATTAGTCACGAACTCTGGGCTAACACATTAGCCTAGCCTGGTTTAAACCAGACCCTGTCCTTCACTTTGCTTCATACAAGGGTCTGGACTTGCTGCATAGAGAAGTGATTCTTGCAGGAGGCGTGGCCTCAGCTGAAGTTTAAAATGATTGGATCAGTTGGCTGCGATGTACAGTAAATTGTCAACAATTTAAAAGCTACAGGACTACATTAATTAATTTAGTCCTGTAGCTTTACATGCCTTTAGTTATTTTGTAACTATTTTTTATGAGTTTTATCAAAATAATCTGTGAGCTGTTAGGAGACCAGTAAACGTTGGCAGTGTCGTTTTTACTAAATTCTAAACAAACCTTTAAATTAATCTTTCAATTTCTGATCGACCATAAATGGACTTTTTTTATTAAAGAGGCTCAGGGACTCAGTAAAGTAAATGTTGTGGAGCGATGCCTGTCCAACACTTTGTCCTGTGTTTAATTTAACGTACACGACTGTGTTTCAGGCTAGCTGATCAGATTCATCTGATGACTTTCCCTCAGTGGTTTGAGCTGCTGAAAAATGTCTTTGAGTGTTTCCTCCTGTTCCTGCAGAGGATCAAGGTGAGGAAACTCATTTCTCTGGACTAGAGGAACTGCTTTTATTTACTGTTTATTTATTTACAGTTTACATTTATTTTAGAAATTAAGTGTTGGATGCAAAAAAAGACTATTCTGCATGTATTTAAAGTGTAAAAGGAACTTTTGAGATCAATTTATTGGTTTGTACCAGTTATTCCCTCACTTTTTGTCTGTCAGGCCACATTAAACATTATCAGAAACGTGGTTCTGGAAGTTTTGGCCTCCAACCAGAAGAACCGGCTCCCTACAGAGGCCAGATCAGGAAAACCATGTGAAGAAGCCTCCCAGGTCTCGGTGGTCCTGCAGGGGGAGGCTGAGCTATCTTACCTGACCCATGAGGGAATGTTCATCAGTGACGCATTAAATGAAGCACTGCAACAGGACGCTGGGTTGGTGGGCCACCATCAGAACTCCACATCGGGCTTCAGGACCCAGACAGGCCGAGCAGAGGGTGCTGACAGTAACCCACCCTCTGGGGTCACAGAGGTCTCTGCTAGCAGAGAGCCGACCTTCATGTAAGTCTCTCAGGGTTGAACTTTCTCTTAATGTTTGGCTTTCTTCAGCTGAAGAACTACCATATTTATTTACAAGAAATTTAACCCCAAAAATCATTCATAAAGTAAGTAAATAACACTTTAGTTAAATGAGTTACAACAACTAATTTCCCTCTGGGATCAAAAAAGTATTTTTCAATTGAATTGAATTTAATACACACTTCAAGCTCAAGTTCAAGTTTATTTCTACAGCTCTAAGTCACAACACACGTTGTCTCAGGACACTGTAGATAAAAAGAACAATGTAAAGAATTTAGCAGCAGATTGTGTTGAATCACTTCATCACAGTCTCCCA